GATTCTTTTAATTCAGTGTCTTTTCATTTTGAAGAACTAATCATCACAACAATTAATAAGTTATTATAAACAACACTATCTTGACATAAGAGAAGAAATGAAATGTTCATAAAATGAATCATCAAAAGGATCTAATAATCAAAAATGTGAATAATTCATAAATAATAAATTAATAGAAAGAATAATATAAAAAATAATAAAAATATTAAGTTCAATTTTTAGAAAAAAGAGAAAAAGGAATTTCACGAATTTACAGAAAAAGAACAAGTTCAAGAAACTGAAAGTTCAAAGAATACAACAAAGCAAAAAATGAAGAAATTAAAGAAGTAATTAAGACAAAATACAACAAGAAAAAGCAGAGTTTGAAAAGAAGAAGATTTATAGATCAGAGGAGTAACTAAAAAATAAGAAATGAGCATTCAAGAAAACTTAAACAACTTGATTAAACCACATGGAGGAAAACTCATTAAAACATTAAAATATGGAGCAGAAAGAGAAGAATGTATTAAAGAAGCAAAATCACTTCCAAAGATTGATATTTCATCAAGAGAATTTGGGGATCTTGTTATGATGGGAATTGGAGGATTTTCACCATTAAAAGGATTTATGAAAAAAGAAGATTGGTTCTCAGTTTGTAAAAACTTCACACTTGCAGATGGAACTTTTTGGCCAATTCCAATTACAATGTCAGTTTCAGAAGAAGAAGCAAAAAAATTAAAGAGAGGACAAAAGGTTGCATTAAAATATAATAAAGATATTAATGATATTTCAGGAACTATTGAAGTTGATCAAGTTTATGAAATGACTAAGAAAGATAAAGAAATGGAATGTAAAGATATTTTTACTACAACAGATTTAGACCATCCAGGAGTTAAAAAAGTTATGGAACAAAAAGCATTTAATGTTGCAGGTAAAGTTACAACACTTTCAGAAGGAGAATTCCCAATTAAATATAAAGGAATTTATATGACACCAGAAGAATCTAGACTTAATTTTGCTAAGAAAGGATGGAAAACAATTGCTGCACTTCAATTAAGAAATCCAATGCATAGATCACATGAATTTCTTGCTAAAATTGCAGTTGAAGTTTGTGATGGAGTTTTTATTCATTCACTTGTAGGAAATCTTAAACCAGGAGATATTCCAGCTGAAGTAAGAGTTAAATGTATTGATGCACTTGTTGATAAATATTTTGTTAAAAAGAATGTCCTTCAAGGAGGATATCCACTTGATATGAGATATGGAGGACCAAGAGAAGCTCTTCTTCATGCTACATTTAGACAAAATTATGGATGTACACATATGATTATTGGAAGAGATCATGCTGGTGTTGGTGATTATTATGGACCATTTGATGCACAAAAAATCTTTGATAAAATCCCTTATAATGCTGATCCTAAGAAGAGACTCTTAACTCAACCTATGAAAATAGATTGGACATTCTATTGTCATAAATGTGATGGAATGGCTTCATTAAGAACTTGTCCTCATACTAAGAAAGATAGAGTTATTGTTTCAGGAACTATGGTTAGAAAGATGTTATCAGAAGGAAAAACTCTTCCAGATCATTTTGGACGTGCTGAATCACTTAAGATTTTAGCAGATTATTATCAACATCTTGATAAATCAAAGAAAGTTACTATCAAGTTACAAAAGTTTGCTACTGGTGATGCCATGAAATAAGTGTTTTAAAATTAACTTTAACACTTTCTTTTTTTTTTAATAAATCATTTGGTTTTTTAATTTTTAAATAAATTTTATCAATAATTAAGAAATTTGTATTGAAAAATATCATATTCATTATAGTATAAGAACTAATATGTAGATTGAATAATGATATTTGAAAATAAATGTAATTGTATTATTTTATTTCATTTGTATATTTGTGTTGTTATTTTATTATTTTAGATTCTTCTTTTATGTTACTTTGAATGAAATTTCAATTAAATCAATCATTACTTAATTTTGTACATTCTCAATTTCATATTTTCATTCATTAATTCAAAAAGAGTTATTCTTAAGAGTCAATTAATAAATTAAAACTGTTTTTACCATTTCATTGTCTAAATTAATTAGTTGTTTTCTTTATTTAATCATTCATAATGTGTTATTTATTGTAATGAATGTTCAAAAATTATGTTTATTTAACATGAAAAATAAACAAATATTAATATGATGGTTT